CTTTATCCCCTAAGAAGCCTATGAGGTTAGTATAATCAGTACCTCCATTTACTAGACAGGCAAATGGAGGCAGCGGAAGGTGAAGCTATTTGCTCCAAGGCACAAAGCCAAGATCCACAAGCAAGCAGCCTGGCTCCTGAGTTCTTACTAGGCTGCATCTTATAACGACATGATGAACCAAGAATAACAGGTATCATTTATTTATATTATTATAAATACTACTCTAATAGAGCAGGTAGAAATTCTTAAATCTCTTGTTCCATGCCACATACTGTACAGACAAATCTCATATATAATCTTCCCAACTGCCCCTTCTGGATTCTGGCCATACGGTCATTGAAGACAGCAGATCAGAGTCTTGACCACAGCAACCTGCTCAAGGTCACAGAGCAATATGTATATCTGGGATTGGAGACCAGGGCTTTTTGACCCCAATGCCCACCTTCACTGTCACTTATTATGCAGGAGGATTCCTGTCTCCTTCTCCCCTATAACTCTCATCACAGTGGGAAGCTTCTGAACTCTTTATTGTCACTCAATCCAGAATCCTTGATATAAGGTAACTGGGGGACATAAACACGGAGAGCCAGCAGTGATTGATATTTTAGTTTCAAAACAGAGTTTCTGTTCAACTAAACAGCAGACACCGCCACAGAGTAGAAAACCAGGGCACCTTAAAATCATCATAGTTCAGTAAAACCTCAGCCAGAAACCACTGAGTTTCAAAGTCCTATTAATAACAGAACAAGCAAGAGAAGAGCTAGGAGGAAACACGGGCAATACAGCGGGTCCCTCGATCCCTCGGTTCCTTGGTCCCTCGATCCCTCGATCCCTCAGTCCCTGGATCCCTCCGTCCCTCGGAGTTGGTGGGAAGGGTGCAGACAGCAGCAGGCACTGCCCCTGCCCTGGCTACTGGCCCCCCTCCGTTCCCTCAGGCTGTGTCACCTCATATCTAATGACTTCACTGCTTTGGGTCTCTGATGCTCCTTCTGAAAGCAAGATCAAGAGGTCATGACCCCATGTTGTAAGGAAGTTCAGATGAAGTAATCTAACAAGAGTGCTTAAAGGAACTTAGAGTTTGCAAATAAAAGGCGCTGTTGTTGCCTTGATCAGATCTACAGGATGCCCTGCAGACCTACCACGAAGGAGAAAGAGTTGGCTCTCATTTCCCCAAATCGACATCCTGGTCTATCTTTAGTGAAGTTTTACAGAAAGTTCTTCACCCTGACAACTTACAAATCCTTCTGTATGGGAAGCTATAGGTTGAAGTCAATGTTGATTTCATTCATCTAATCTCTACTAATAGAAATATAAAGGATTTATTAATAGCCTAGTGACAAAGAGGTTAGGGTCTGGGGTCCAGCTGTTATTTTACTGAAATGAGCTTGGATAAGAGATTTAACTTTCCCTGTCACATTTTACTCTTAAAACAGACAACAACAGTATCTAATTCAGAATTGTTATGACAATTAAGTAAAGTGGATTAGTCTGGAAGTCTGATACACAGTCGGCAATCAGCAAATATCTGTTGTTAGGGTCTCAGAAGGAAAGTAGCAAAAGGGACACATCTTGCAAATCTTTCATGTATAAATTTAAGAGATATCCCAAATAAGCATTCTGCTGAAAAGAATGTAGGAACTGGGGCTAGGGCTGGGGGTCAGTGGTAGAGTACTCGCCTAGCACACATGAAGAACTGGGCTTGATCCTGGACACCACATAAAAACAAAATAAAGGTTATTGTGTCCACCTACAAGTAAAAAACAAACAAAAAAGAAAAAAAAAGAATGCAGGAACAAAATGTCAATACTAAAAAATTAAAATAATTGAAAAAATGAGCTATAAAACCAACTATTCATATGGTCTCTCTCTCTCTCTCTCTTCTCTTCTCTCCTCCCTCCCTCTCTCTCTCTCTCTCTCTCTCTCTCTCTCTCTCTCCCTCTCTCTCCCTCTCTCTCTCTCTCTGTCTTTTAGAAGCTAGGGAGAGCCCAGGGCCTCGGGTATGGTAGGCAAGTACTCTACCAAGTTACATCTCCACCTCCAACTTCTAATGTTATTTTTAAACAGGTATTTAAAACTTACAAAATTCACAAAAAGCCTAGAAAACAAGAAAAGTGCATAAAATATACTCGCTAAAAATAACAGATAGAATAGGTAAACAGAAATGTCACTTCTAAAGGTCCTCAAGTTTGTTCCAGGTGTGTTCCAGCCACCAGAAGGGACTGCCAAGGTTTGCTAGGAGGCAGCTAGGTCATCCAAGGTTAAGTACTTATTAAATTACTTTTTCCTAGTTCTAGTTTCACAAGCAATTTGAAGAAATAAATTTCCTTAGATATTGTGACACTGAATATTAATGACTGGAAAGTTAAGTGCACACAGAAAAAGCACAGCAATATTGAAGAACCCATCAAAAAGTTCACGCAGCTGGCTACAGTGTCACACGCCTGTAACCCCAGTGGCTTGGGAGGTTGAGGTAGGAGGATCTCAAGTTCAAAGCCAGCCTCAGAAAAAGTGAGGTGCTAAGCAATTCTGTGAGACCCTGCTTCTAAAAAAAATATGAAATAGGGCTGGAGATGTGGCTCAGTGGTCGAGTGCCCCTGAGTTCAATCCCTGGTATCCAAAAACAAATCAAAACAAAACAAAAAAACTTTACCCTGCCTGGGTCACCTTCCACCAGACATCTGCAAAACTCATGCTCTTCAAATGTCATCTCCTTGGGGACATCTTCCTTGACACACACACACACACACACACACACACACACACACACACACCCCATCTAAAACACCTCACCACCTTCAGTAAATCTACTTTTGTTTCTAACAGTGACAACCACCAGCATTATGCTTCATTACCTTTTGTGTGTGGCAAGGTGGGGAGGGAGGTGCTGGAGGTTGAACCCAGGGATGCTCTACCATTGAGTTACATACCTAGCCCTTTTTATTTTATTTTATTTTGTTCTGAGAAAGAATCTTGTTAACTTGATGAGGCTGGCCTCTAAGTTGCCATCCTCTGACTTAGCCTCCCAAGTTGGCATGTGGCCACCAAGCGCAGCTCAGGGAACATTTCCAGTGCTTGGCATGGGGTAAAGGCTCAACATAGATCTGTTAAATAATCAATGAGTAAATATATTTCCTGAAGGCAGAGAGAATATTCGGATGGTCCAGAGATATGCATGTGAATAGGCATACATAGGATGAGAGGAGAAGCAACAGAAGGTGAGGCTGGAGTCTCTTTTCTAGAAGGCATCAACAACTTGAACTCTTCTTCTTGTTATCTTGCCATCATAATCTTAATGTTATCAATAAAAGCTGACAACAGACATTTTCACATTTTTTTTCCTTATAAGGCTGGGGATTAAACCTAGGACTTCATTTCATGCTAGAAAGCACTACACCACTGAGCTATAGCCCTAACCCTTCTTCTAGACTTTTAAAATTGCTGCTAATACTTGTCCTAAAGTGTGGATATCCAGATTCAAAGGATAAGCTGCAGGGAGAGGGCATGAATGGCTTTGGCAACACAGAATCGTAGTCTGAAGTTATGGTATCTAAATATCTAATACCTCTTAGAATTTTACAAATGGAACCAAGAAAGTGAAAGAAAACAACATCAAGTAGAAGCTCAAATATTCCAATAGAGGTGCTGGTGGATCCTTCCATTCAACTTCAGGTGAGTCAGGGAGATGAGGGATTTTCTATACTTTAAGTTAAAAAATAAGTGACTGAAGAGCTAGTGCATACTGGGACATAAAATGGTAAGACAAGCTGGATGTGGTAGCACACATCTGTACCCTAGTGCCTCAGGAGGTTGAAGTTCAAGGCCATTCTTAGAAAATAAAAAATATAGCTCAGTGGTACAGCACCCCTGGTTCTATCCCTAGTACCAAAAACAAATAAAATATAAACAGGCAAACAGAAGTCGGACAGAGCACATAGCACAGGAAGGACAGATTTGAGGGGGGTCATCAATACTGAGCTCACATCGGGAATGGCTGTCACCCATGGGGTCTTCCTATGTCCCAGACATCTGAGCTACACACTTGGGATGTGGCATGGCTTCTGATTTCTGCTTGTTTTTTTTTTTTTTTTTTTTTTGGTGATACTGGGGATTGAGCCTGGGCTTGGCACATGTTAGACACACCTGCTACCCCTGTGCTAAATCCTCTGCACTCCTGTCTCTAATGGTTACCCTGGGGAAAAAAACAAGATAGGTAGAATGAGGAAGAAGCCATAGAGTGGCAGGTCAGCTCAGAGACAAACTCCTGGGGGTTCAAGATCCAACAACAGAATCCTTTTCAGAAGAGCAGAAAGATGATCATAGTGGCACTCACCTGTGATTCCAGCAACTCGGGAGACTGATGCAGGAGGACCACAAGTTCAAAGCCAGCATCAGCAAAAGTGAGGCCCTAAACAACCCAATGAGACCCTGTCTCAAAATGAAATATGAAAAAGGGCTGGGGATGTGACTCAGTGGTTGAGTGCCCCAGGTTCAATCCCTGGTGTGTGTGTATGTGTATATATATAAAAGAAGAATAGAAAGATGATTCCTGTAGACATCATGCTACTTGAAGTTCTTGCTACTTCAAGTATCTCTTGATGAGCCCTGATCTTCCCCTGCCCTTGCCTCTGCTTTTCTAGCTAATTCCAAGCCTGAGCCTCCTGCTGCTGCAGCAGCATTCCTCTTCACACATGGTAAAGGGCACCGGCCTCACCCGAAGGGGAGCGCCAAACCCCATCCTTTGTTTTCACTTTTGGAGTTTTTGTTAAATTGACTTAAATATAGAAAAGATGACTTCATTCCTTATTAAGAATCTTATGAAATCAACTTAATTTCTGGCAGAGAAAAGCAAATGGGTGATCGCGTTTTCTCCTCTTAAAAGGAACAGTTATGTAACCAGCCCCCGTGGAGCAGCCAGGCTAAAGTCAACAGAAGGAAAGATGGAGACCGCCCTGCTTCTCTCTACCAGTCAGGATGACAGCTTGGGGTCCCCACACACTTACTTCTCATACAGCCTCTGTCCTCGCATGAACGCCTTCACCTCATTATCCAGCGGGAAGGTGCCATCGTCCTTTCTGAAGCGGTAGAAGAGTTTGACATCCTTGAACTCCTTATGCTCGTCACACACTGAAACACAACATGCACAGAGAGGCAAATGAGGAAAACGAATCACTCTGTATTTAATTACTCAAGTGACGTAAGTTGCTAAGTAAGAATCATTTCACTTCCCAATTCTGCAAGCACACAAATGGCTACTGTATGGGTAAATACATGCACAGCACTTAGCACGCTACCTGGTACACAGTAAGTGCTCAGTCTGACTAGCTATCATCATCATCATTATTATCTATTAAGAGGTTCACAAAATTCATCATTTATTCTACAAACTCTTCTTAAGATGATATTGAGGCAGACGTTAGCCTCAAAGAGCGCACAATCTAGTGAGACAGAGAGAAATGACAGCATGGAGCTAAAACATGGTGTGACGGGGCCATGAAGGGGAGAGGAGAGTCAGGCACAGTGGTGCATGCCTGTAATCCCAGGGGGAGGCTGAGGACAGAAGGATCACAGGTTTGAGGCTAGCCTTAACATGTTCAAATTCAGCCTGGGCAACTTAGTAAGACCCTGTCTCAAAAAACAAAACGAGCTAGGGATGAAGCTCACTGGTAAAGCAACCCTGTTTCTGATCCCCAGTACTGGAAAAAAAAAACAACCAAACAAAAAGGAGGTAAAGAGAGACCAGTGCCCAGGAGTCCAGGACCCCAACTTTGGGGAAAGAAAGCTCCCTTGAAAAGTCTGTACATGGAAATCTGAAGAGTAAGTAGTAACTGGGCAAAAAGGAGGGGGCTTGGTATCCCAGCCCGGAGAAGAGGAGCACATGCAAGGGTCCAAACCAGGCTGAGAGATTTCAAAATGTGTTCATGAGGGTTAACTGAACCATTGAGAGAAATGGCAAAAACATAAACAACCTGGATCTCCATCAACAGAGGAATGGATAAGTGTACGATAGCAGCAAAATGAACAGATATACTACCAACATGAGTGAATCTCATAGCGTATTGTTCAAGTCACAAAAGAATAAACATGCATTCTTATAATGGCTCAAAACACTTAAAACAACATGACACGCTACTTAAGAGATGCATACATAGAAAGGAAAAGTATAAAAAAGTACATGGGAACAAGCCAATACCTCTTGGCAAGAGGACAGGAATGCAACTGGGAAGAGGTACACAAGAGACAACTTAAAGTAATATATGCATTTCTTTTTTCTTTTTCTTTTTGCATTTCTTAAATTCATGAAAGATTTAGCCCTATTTTTCCTCTCAAGTCACCTCGACTGTGGCCACCTCACTCACCATGATGAATAATGCCCCGGTCTGCTAATTTCTGCATGAGCTTAATTGCCGTCTCTCTATCGGAAGCCTCTTTGTGTTCAATCAGCCAGTCAATCAATTCTTTTGCAACAAAACAGTTTGGGTAGGTTTTGAGATGATGTCGTCTATCTTTAATGACCTTTTCTTCATGCAGCCTGAGTCTAGAAAAAAACAATGAACAATTTACTTTAGGAATTTGGAAGACCACATGAATAATTAAACCAATTCCAGAGAGAAGTTAACAAAACAGAAGCTCTAAATGCATCCGAGTGGTACTAAAATATCTTCATGTCACTTGGTGATTTCCATACTGTCAGAGCTCAAAGGCTCCGGGAGGTGATTCCACCCTCATATCTAGGGATGATACAGGTAAATGTGAGAAGAAAAAAAAACCACAAGGCCAACCTACAACTCTCCAGACATTCAGGAGATCAAAGAAAGCTCTCTTATCTTCTACTTTACCTTACACCCTTCCTCTTTCTCCCTCCACCTCTGATGTTATTGAGTCAACCCACCAATAAAAACTCTAGAAACCTATTGAAACAAGGTACTTTCTCTCCATCACAAATTGCTCAGGGTCCACCATAATTTCACTCCTCCATTCATTTAACAAATACTCATGAGTGACTACCACCTGCCTTTTAGGAACTTTGAGGCAGCAGACTCATGCATCATTAAATACAGAAGAAATGAAAAGCTGAGGCAAGGAGGATCCTAAGTTTGAGACCAACTTGGATAACACAGTGAGAACTTGTCTCAAAATTTAAATAAATAAATAAATAGATAGATAGATAGATAGATAGATAGATAGATAGATAGATAAATAAATAAATAAATAAAAGGGTTGGGGATGTGACTCTCTGGCGAAGCTCCCCTGGGTTCAATTCCTGGTACCCAAAAAAGGTGGGGGAGGGAAATGTTTCAGACAATTTTAAGCACTGAATTCAGAAGTTCATGAAACCAACTGTTGTGACTAGGATAGGAAGTATCCTCAGAAGCTACTGTTAATGCAGGAACATTCAGAGGTGAGATGATTGGATTATGAGAACTGTAAACTAAGAATTCCACCCTAGGTTAAATGGACTGACGGGTGGAAACTGTAGGCAGGGGGAGGCATGCCTGGAGGAGGGAGGTCATCAGGGGTCTGCCCTGGAAGGGTGCATCTTCCCCGGGCCCCTTCCCCTCTCTTCCTTTGCCTCCCAGTTGCCGTGAGCTGAGCTGCTCTTCTCTGCTAGGCCCTTCTGCCATGATGTTCTGCCTCACCTTGAGCCCAGAGCAGTCTGAGGTCCGTGGACTGAGACCTCTGAAACCCTGAGCCCCAAATAAACTTTTCCATCTCTAAGTCATTCTTGTCAGGTATTTTGGTCAAGGCAATGCAAAAGCTAAGACACTGCCTAACCTTGATTTAATTACATGAACTAATACATTCCTTTATGCTTAAGTAAGTTGAATCAGGTATCTAATACCAAAATCATCCTAAAACATCCTCCAGTTGAATGGTTTGATGGCTCTGTGGCATTGAAAGTTGCGAGAAACTGGTGCATTTAGAGCTGTCTGTTCCTGCACCCAGTCATCCCAGAACTTCCTAGAGTCAGATAAAAGGTCTTTCATTCTCTGGTCTCCTCCTGTGTTCTGCTGTCATGCAAATCACTGTCCTTGTTCCTGAACTCCAACAGTTCCCTTAATCTCCTGCTTCTGTTCTGCCAGGGTCCTCTAAGCTAGCTGGTGTAAAAATATTTATGTAGAACTCATTTGAGCAAAAGCTTGACATGAACATCTAGGAATAAAGAGAATAAGCACATCATGCACGGAATGTATGACATCTATTTTGGTCACTAAAAGGCTGTTTTTTGTACTTTATTACTGATCCTCGGCTAAGGGCTAAAAAACTGAGGGTAAATGTTAATTGTGCTTAATTACTTCACAATGCTCTATCATTTGTAAATTCCATATTTTAAAAAGTCTTTTTTTTAGCTGTAGATGGACACAATATCTTTATTTTGTTTATTTAGTTTGTTTATGTAGTGCCGGAGATTGAACTCAGTGCCTCACAAATGCCAGGCAAGCACTCTGCCACTGACCTACAGTCTCAGCCCCCCACCATTTGTAAATTTCTATCATCTGAAAACTAGAAGTCCAGACATATTAATAAGACTGTCTACAGAAAGGGCACAGCAATAAATCTATTAGAAAAAGAGATGAGGGTGTCAGTAATATTAGGAAAACATCAAAGAGGAGGAATTTAGTAGGCCCAGAAAATATGCTTATAAAAAGGAGTAGTGGAATAGCATTGCCAGATTTAAGCAGGAAAAAAAATCCAGGAAACTCAGTTAAATCTGAATTTCAGAGAAACAACAAATTTTCATACAAACATATCCCAAATGTTACATGAGACCTACTTATAATAATAAAAAATACCCTATTATTCACTGGATCTTCAACTCAAATTCTACTAAGTACCCTGCATATTATCTGGGATGTGTCTTATTAAACATGGAAGCTGGTATATTAGAATGTTAGAGGGCACTCTTGTGTCTTCAGGGCTTTCTCCTCTAGGGAAGCTACTTGTGAAAGTTATGTAGAGTACTTGACTCCTCATTTTTATCTGATTCTTCCAGAAAATACTTTGGTCCATGTGCTTGAGGCCAGACCACAGATTTCATGTGCTGAGGACAGGGTAGGAAATACAAACTATAAAGATTATAAATTATAAAGTGGGTGGAGTGAAATCAAACCACAGAATCTTATTCAGCCAAATAGCTGGGTATTGTGGCATGGGCCTGTAATCTCAGTGACTCTGGAGGCTGAGGCAGGAGATCAGGCTCTCCAATTTAGAGAGACCCTGTCTCAAAATGAAAAATAGGGTTGAGATGTAGGTCAGTGGTAGAACACTCCTGAGTTCAAACTCCAGTACTGGGAGAAAAAAATATGCAATTAGATTTTACTGCTTTCCTTCTTCGGCCACTTTTAGCCAAAATTTTGCTATGCTTTACTTTTAAAATTATCTGGCTTAATTTGTTTCCTTCTTGGGTGCTAGAGATTGAACCCAGGGGTGTTCTACCACTGACCTACATCCCTATCCCTTTTTCGAAACAGAGTCTACACTAAATTGCTAAGGCTGGCCAGGAACTTGCAATCCTCCTACCTCAGCCTCCCAAATTGCTGGGATTAGAGGCATGCACCACCATACTGAAGCCCGAATTAGACAGGCAGATAGGCAAGGGTCAGATCCAGAGAATGGAAGAATTGAAATGTTAATTCCTTCAGAGCCCTTCCTCTACCCTATCAAGATAACCTGCCCCAGCTCCAACCTTTTGCTAAAGTATCCTGTCCCAGGCATTGCCCCTCCCTACAGGGAGTTATAAAGTTGTCAATTAATGACTCCTGGGCGCTCCATGCGGACCTTCCCCTGTCCATCTGCTTCTCACCTTTTGGCCACCCCACCCAGCATCTCCTGGCTTAGTCATGAACAGGAAGGAGAAAGATAGAGGGAAGACAGCAGGAGAACAAGGAAGCCTAGGACACATAAAAAAGACAGAATACCTCGCTTCTTGGGATACCAGGATACCAGCTATGGCCCCCTCCTCCCTCCTGGGAGGAGTCTGTTACCCTTTTTAAACAAGCCCTGCTTTATATGCTTGCCTCAGCGTGCTTCTCTAATGTTATACTTCAACATGTGGGGAGCAGGACTCATCACCAGTAACTGGCGGTATCAATACCAGGTTTTAACTCTATAATTTTTTTTAAAAAATCAGCTAAGGAAAAAAAAAAAGAAAAAAGAAATTCCAGGAGTGACCAGGGAAGGCAAGTGGGCTCTCACTGCTTAGGAAAAAAGAAAACCTGAGTTTTCTGTCTTCTGATTCAGGGCTAGTAGAAAAGGCAGTGAAATATAGCTCAATGGTAAGTAACCAGGTGGTGCTGGGTTCAATCCCCAACGACACACACACACACACACACACACACACAAGAAAGAAAAGAAAAGTTAACTCAGGTTGGGTACCTTTCTGTAATCCCAGAGAATCAGGAGGCTAAAGCAGGAAAATCACAAGTTCAAGGCCAACCTTGGCATTTTAGCAAGACCCTGTCTCAAAATAAAAATAAAAAGGACTGGGATGTAGATCAGTGGTAGACATCCTGGGTTCAATCCCCACTGGGTGGAGAGAAGCTCAAGGCGGGGGAAATGACATTCTTTCCTTTTGAGATATCTTAGGAAGGGGTCAAGGAAGTGTCATCCTCTTTCGTTAGAACAGAGATTAGGGAAAAAAGGACATATCCAAAGTAGGGACAGAACTGCTTGTGTCAAACATAAACATAAACATGATGAAAAAAAAGAACTATGCAAAATTGAATAATAATTCACAAAGATTAAAAAAGGAAGAGATCATGCAATAGATTAAATAAGAATCTAGTCTGAAAGAAAATAATTTAGGAAACCGAAAGAAATGACCCTATTCTGATTAAAAAAAAAAAACTGAAAAGAACATGAGTTCAGTAAAATAAGAACTCAAAGATGAAATTATGATGAAAAGAAATTTTTAGAGGAAAAAACTGCAGTAAGATCATCATTGTTAAATGAATTACAGACTGCAAGGACAAACAAATTACATAGCTAAAAATTGAAATTCTGATTGAAAAAAGACTTTAATAAAAGAAGGGGGAAAACAAAGAAATTAAAGCAGGTAGAAATATATATTTTAGTATAAAATTAATTCCTAATATTTGCTCAGTATACTCAAGTTTCAGGAACCAACTCAAATAGCCACCTTCATATTAGATCTAAGAAGGTTTGGGTATTTCAAGAAAAAAAGAGACTGCCCAAGTATTTCTTGGCAAGCTGATGAGGCTCAGTTCTTTCTTTCAATAGGTTATGTTTTAGTTATGGGATGATGTTTCTGGAGGTACAGACCAGGAAGACCCCTGGGAAACCATTCCATATAGCCCTTTGTTCTTTTCTGAGCACACAGGTTTAATCCCCAAGTGTCATTTCAGCAAAACAAAGACTTGGACTGTCAGTAATTCTGTGACAATCAACTTTCAAGCATTGGAGTTCTACGCATCGGTAAAACAGAGATACTGGTGCCCAACTATGTGCTAGGCACAGCTGAAACTGCTTCATGGGCATTGATCCTCGTGACAACTCCTGAAGGCAGGTGATTCTAAA